CTGGGCTTTTGCCTTTCTAATTTCCTCTCTGCATGACCTGCAGACATTAAACATTCTGTCTCTTAGGTAAATACCACTTGGAGATAGAACGTTTTTTTGAATCAAAAGTTGCTGGAACTGTGATATAGCATGATGTGAAAAGAGGAAAGTGCTAGGATAATTTCTGTAGCCTGAAAGTTAATCTTGATTAAGATTAGATTATGCATCTTTTCAGCTGTATAATCACATTCGAAGTACAACATGTCTTTCTCTTTGGTGTAATCATCTGGAAGTGCAGACTGAATAAAACCATAACCACTGTGAAGAAAAATACCTTGTGAACATAGAGTGTTAAAACTAGTGCTTTAACACTGTTACTGGCAGCACCCAAATTCTGCTATTAGTGATTAATGCTTGATTTAATGACATCAAGGAACAGGTCAGTACTTCGAAAATAATGGCTGAAGGTTTCTGCTAATAGTATTTCTTCGTAAAACTGTAAGCTGTAGTTCTAGTTGTATTAAATGACATAAGGACTTCTTAAAAGGAATAGATGCAAGTGGCTCTTTGGAAGGGTATAACTGGTGGCAGGGTAAAGGGTAAAATAAAGAGAAGTTCATCTTTTCCCGTTGCTTTGCTTTCATGTTTTTCCCTGTCCTTCAAGGAAAAAGTTGTGACAAAGGCCAGTCTTTCTTGTCTGAAGCACCTGAGTCTCCAGCCACATTGTCTTACAGGAATATCATTCAAAGTAAGTCTGAAAATCACTGTGCAAATGATTCCTCTCAGTTCTGAACACTTCTGCAATATATAAAGGCTCTAAACGGAATTATGTTACTCTGTCACAAATAATAAAAACAACAGATGTGTATAGCAGTTACGAAAGTAACAGATGCAAATACTATCTATGCTCACTTCTTCTGGGCATCAGTTATGGCAGGCTTTTAAAGCGATAATGAAATTGTATTTAATAACTGGTTTCATGTTTGGCTTCAGTCATTAATTTTCAGAAAAGATGTGCATGTACGTGCTCTCACAGAAAAGTTCTAAGATTCTCAAGCAGGCCTGTTGAGGGGTGCTCCCTATAGCTGAGTATGGTTCAGCTGGCTAATTATTGCCTCCACTTCTAATTGTAATTGCACAAAAAACCCCATGTAAAAACTACCTAAAGAGCCAGTGACGTGCAGTTTAAAAATACAAACAGCTGGGAAATTCCTAAAGCTATTTTCACTGTGATAAAGGCCCAGCTTGTGATATTTGTCCCAATGGGACAGAATGATGCAGCAATAACTAACTCCTGATGTGCAACTGAAATATTATTCATATTACTTTTTCCCTGTCTTTGCAGGGATTCAGGAATACTGTGATAAACACCACTTTCAAGAAGAAAAGATTATCTGATCTATGAATGGAATAAAAATGTAGTTCGTGTGTAATTATAGAAAAGTAACTTATGCCTTTATTAATAGAAGGAATGTATTCTTTTTGTATATTGCAAATAAATTCTTAATGTAAGTGTTCTTTCCTTAGTTTTTTTCCGTAGTTCAAGATTCGTGTAGTTCATAGGTGGTCTCAAAGCTGGCTAGAAAGCTATAAAACTGAGTCTTCACCTGTGTCACATAGGCACAATCTGCATCTGGTGTCATAGTACTAGGAACCTGAGTATGAAGTTGGTGTTTGAAGACACGCATCTACAAGATCTTATTTAGAAAGCTGAATATAAAATGTGCTTTACTGACATTGGGACATGGTGTCTAATGTATGTACTGTGCACATTTAGTAGGCTTTGTGCTCCCTTCTTCGCTAGGATGAACTGTAATGCCCACTCTCACTGAATAACATCATTTAAGTATCTTTCCTTTCAGTGGAAAAGATCTATATGTAGAGTGAAATTCAGTGTAGTGTTGTCTCCTTTTCTTATAACTGGCATCCGTTTTAGAATTAAATCCTACTAGAGTTTAGGCAAGTTAATTATAGTACAAGTACAATATTTTATTTATTACAGGTATTAGACTAGGATTAACATATTTTAACTCTTTACACATAACTGGCTGTTTCACACAAGTGCTGTGTGAATGTCCTGCATGACTTTTGTTCTTTACTCGATCCTAAGCCTGAACACTAAAAAATAAACATTTGGTATCTTCAATAACTAAGAGACCCTTTGTGATTGTAATTTCTCTCTTTATTGAGGAATCACAGCTTTGAGAAATCGGTGCTCTGTACAAGAGGGAAAGGCAGTTTGATCTTGTTTATTATAGTTCCAAAATTAAACAAGTGAGCATCGTCTTTTGATTACATTCTAATTCTTGGTTAAGATAATCCAGCAGTTTCAGCTTAGTTGACAGATTTTTTTCTTAAAGTGTGCTCTTTATAAACTGTAAGTGTTGTTTTTGTGCCTATACAAACTGCTTTTTGATGAAGCTTTTAAGTAACAAAGGCTGTTACCGTTTCAGAAGTTAAAGACTCAAACACAAATGACATAAAATCCTTATTATTTCATGCAGGCATAATTTCTAGAAGAGCTTTACTTCACTACCTTCATATGAAGAATAGCTTTCATAAATGAGTATTTTTACTGCTCATCCTTTCAATCCTTCCTTATTTGATTATCTAGTGCCTGTTTTCCCATGTTCTTCGGTGCGGTCTTCTGAAATTCTCCTTGTCTGTCCTGTAGAATGAACACAGGAAGCGTGGGTGTTAGCATAACCTAGTTTGTAGGCATTTTTCTAAAAAGCAGGGAAGAGCCTTGTGGAAGCCTGAAGGTTGAAGATAGCTCTCCCAGCTGTGCCTAGGCAGAGGCATTATAATACCTCAGAAGGCATCCCTCCAAGTGTTTAACTTGGGAGGGTGTGGGGCTTGGAAGCAGCTCAGTTGCGAAGCTTCAGCAGGCTTCTGAACACGGAGCAAAGCGACATGGGGCACGGCCCCTCCAAGCGAGTTCCACAGGAGAGGCTTATGGGAGAATCAAGGTAGCCCCGCCAGGAGTTATTTTAGGAGCTAAGACCAGGGAAGAGCCAAAACCCACAGCGTGAGGCAGGTCAGTACGTGATACTTCATGGGCTGTAGCTGACAGACCAACTCAGTACTTACTCCTGGGAACATCTGCTGTGACAAAAAACCTTGAAGTTACTCTGCTGATGCTTTTTTGTCCCCCTAATTTGCAGTGGATGTAGCCATATAAATTAGCAGTCTGAAGGGAGATCCCAGCTATCACAAGAGCCTGTGGACAAACAACAGTTCAGCTGGGACAAATACACTGCTATATGTAGACTGTATGTGTAGAATATATATACACACATGTGTATGTATGTATACATACTATTTAGATGTACATACATGCTTTAAGAGGGGGATATTCCTTCCAATAATAAATGACCTTCAAAGAGCTCCAATCACGTCAAACTTAAACACAATAGTTCTTTTCTACAAAATGCCTCTTTTTATTAAAACACTGATACAATTTTTTTTTGTCATTCTGTATCTTGTAAGCACTTACTCAAAAAAGCACCTATTCAACTGATTCCATAATAATCTCACTTTTTTAAGCCTGATTTGTATCTAAAAGTTTCACATTCAGATACATAGCAAACCTGCAGCCTTGTTTAGCTGCCAAATACCTTTTTCTATACAAATAAGATCCTGTAACTTACAGATTTACAAAGAGCACAGATAGATATGAATCAATACCTAGCATTAACAGGCAGTGAAAATAATTAGATGCTTTTGTGGTACTATAGGCTTAGCAGCAGGCAGAACCCATCTGATTGACTAATGAAATAACTGACAAAAAATGTTTTTCTTAGCCTCAGAAACAGTTTCCTGGAAGCTGTCGTATTTTCATTTGTGTAGCTTGCATTTTATAAGCACCTGAGCAACCCGTGTGCAGTGCCAGTTAGGGTTCCTTCTCCAACCAGCTCTTAGTTTAGCAAACAACCTCTGATTTTCAAAAATAAAGGTGGACCCGTGGAGAAAGACTGCCGATTTAATTTTAACTATCACTTGTTTAGCTATACCATTTTGGGCACTGGAAAGCAGTTAAAGCTTTGCAATTGATTCAGACCTATAGCTGAATTCCCTGTTTCATTTAATAATAAAATGTAATCTTGGCTGTTACTGGTTATGTAGCTGCACATGTCCAAGACACTTTTTATCTTTTCAAACTGAATTAAGAAACTGTACTTAGCATGGCTAGGAACTTGATAAAATAAATTCTGTGGTGATTATCCAAGCACTTAATGCTTACAGGGGAAAACATGAAGATTTCATAGACAAAAATATCTTAACATAATGCAATGTATGGGGTAAATTTCCTCTTGTATTTAAAAAAATGTGTAATTTTTTTGTAGAGTAGATGGCTTATAAACAGAGTAATTCTAAAATACATACTTACAGCTCAGTTTATCAAGGTTTTAAGCACTATGATGCTGGTTCTTTCAAAAGGGACTGGTACCAGAGATCTCAAATCCTTACTTTTAAGAGCAAGTACCATTCAAGTCCCAAGGAGATGTGAAAACCTGAAAACCAGCATCATGGGTTCATTTTTTGTCCCCTCCTATTAGTTTCCTTTGACTGAAATAAGTTGGGGGAAAAGTAAGTTGCTACAGTTAAAAAGAAGTCCGTAATTTTGCCAATCACTTAAGGTTCTCAAGTTAGGTGAAGGAGTTGACATCCAATAACATAGTAGAAGTGGAGCTAAAAATTACTACTCTATTCCAGAGTGCAGTGCTTGACTGCAGAAAACCCCTGATTTGTTGAAGCTATTAGTAGAATTTTTGTACTGTTGGAAGATTTGGTTCAAAGGCTGTTGCAAAACTTACAGATCTGGGTTTTCCCTCTACTAACATTGTCAGCTGTAGGTCTTTCAGTACCCCCACACTTACCAGCCATTTCAGCTTCAAGGAGAACAAGGTGCTAAAGAAAAACACTGTCCAAATAACTGGACAGATAATAAGACCAAGCCAAAAGATTCGAGCTTCAGCTTCAGTTGAGGCAGCTATTGTAGGCACCTAGAAGGAAAATTATGGAAACTACTAGTCACAGAGACAAAATCTGCAATAAATAACAAATCAGCAGAGGAGGAGGAATGGACAAAATTACTTCTTTACTTAAATTTCGATTATATGCCTGGAAGGAAGATTGAATAAGAAGAGAAGTAGTTTTCTGCCTGCTATAATTATAT